TGGACTAAATTCTCACATCTTACCTATCACTACTACAATCAATAGAAAAATAAGAATATTATCATTTTATTTTTATTTAGAGACAGAGTCTCACTTTATCACCCTTGGTAGAGTGTGATGATGTCACAGCTCACAGCAACCTCCAACTCCTGGGCTCCCAAGTAGCTGGGACTACAGGCGCCTGCCACAATGCCCAGCTATTTTTTTGTTGCAGATTGGCTGGGGGTGGGTTTGAACCCCCCACCCTGTGTATATGGGGCCAGCACCCTACCCACTGAGCCACAGGCGCTGCCCTGGATTTTTATTGTTAAAATGTATAAATTTTATCATTTTAGCTATTTTTAAGTGTGCAATAGACATTAAATATCAGTCACATTATACAGTTATCACCACATTTTATTTCCAGAACTTTTTTTGTCATTCTAGACAGAAACTTTGCCTGAGCCAGAGTGAGACCTCATCTCTAAAAAAAAATAGCCAGGCATTGTGGTGGGCGCCTGTAGTTCCAGCTGCTTGGGAGGCTGAGGCAAGAGAATCACTTGAGCCCAAGAGTTTAAGGTTGCTGTCTAGCAAGGGTGACAAAGTAAGACTCGTGTCTAAAAAATAAAAAAAATTATTGAAACTTGTTTTGTGGTATAATATATGGTATCTTGGAAAATGTTCCATATGGTGATGAGAAGAATATATATTCTGCAGTTTTAGGGTAGAACTTTCTATAAATGTCGGTTAGGTTTATTTGTTCTACAGTCCAGTTTAAGTCTGGTGTTCTTTGTTGATTTTTTGCCTTGATGATCTGTCTAGTGCTAAGACAGTTAATTTCAAGTCTTTGACTAGTAAGTCCCATGTCTAGCTTTCCACAGTGATGGTTTCTGTTTGTTTCTTTTCTTCCCTGTGCATGGGTTGTAGTACTTTTCTGTTTCTTTGTATGTTTTATAGTTTTTGATGAAAACAGAACATTTTAAATACTGCATGTAGTAACTCAGGAAATCAGATTCTCCTACACCAGGAATTCCACTGTTGCTCTTTGAGAGCAAAGACTTTATTCCTTGTCATGTGTGCTCACTGAAGTGGATTCTGTTATTTCCATGGTCAGCCTGTGACATGACATTGAGTTCCTTAAATGCCTGGATTTTTTTTTTTTAGACAGAGCCTCAAGCTGTCGCCTGGGTAGAGTGCCATGGCATCTCAGGTCACAGCAACCTCCAACTCCTGGGCTCAAGCGAGTCTCCTGCCTCAGCCTCCCAAGTAGCTGGGACCACAGGCGCCCCCCACAACGCCTGGCTATTTTTTGGTTGCAGCCGTCATTGTTGTTTGGCGGGCCTGGGCTGGATTCGAACTCGCCACCTTGGGTGTACATGGCTGGTGCCTTAGCCACTTGAGCCACAGGCGCCAAGCCTAAATGCCTGGATTTAATAAGGAAAGAAAATTTAAAAGTTTTGTCTCTTTAAATTCTTTGGGCAATATTCTTTGTCTCTTTAAATTTCCTGGAAAGGGGTTTGAAACAATACCCAGTTGGGGTATTGGATGCTTTCCATCCAATCTGTGCCAGTCCCTCAGTGAATTGTGAGGCAGATCAAACCACCACCTGGAGTTTTAGAGGATAAGATAACCTTTTGCTCACCTGGGGCACCTGCTAGGTGCCCAGGATTGAGGCTGTAGTCCTCACAGCTACCTGCCTTAGGACTGTGTCTAGGGGAATTTGCTGCTGTGCAAACACTGACATTCACCTGAATTTCCCAGCTATTTCTTCATCTAGCACTCCCCAAGGTACTGCAAGTCTTTGGTTAGACTCCACAGTTCCCAAGTAGTTGATTCTGACATGTCCTGCCAGGTCAATAGTTTATTTTGGTGGAGGGAATGATTCCTGGAGCTTCCTACTCCACCATCATCCCTGAAATTACTCCCATGTTTCTTTTCTAAAACATGAAAAATTATGAATTCTAAAACATATCGGGCCCAGAAATTCTAGATAAGGGATTATATATCTGTATTAATCCACTTAACAAGAAAATTCAATTATTGTACTATATTCTGAGCTGTGCTTAAAAATCAAATTCTGAAAAGTAGGTATTTTAAAATGGAAATATTTGGGTGGTGCCTGTTGCTCAGTGGGTAGGGCACTGGCCCCATATACGGAGGGTGGCGGGTTCAAACCCGGCCCTGGCCAAACTGCAATAAAAAATAGCCAGGTGTTGTGGTGGGCTACTCGGGAGGCTGAGGCATCACCTAAGTCCAGGATTTGGAGGTTGCTGTGAGCTGTGACGTCATGGCACTCTACCAAGGGTGATAAAGTGAGACTCTGTCTCTAAATAAAAATAAAAATAAAATGGAAATATTCTTATTTTTCTACTGATTGTAGTAGTGATAGGTAAGATGTGAGAATTTAGTCCAAACCCCTTCTTGCACCCCAGGTAACTTTTTTTTTTTGGCCAGGGATGGGTTTGAACCTGCCACCTTGGGCATATGGGGTTGGTGCCTTACCCTTTTGAGCCACAGGCACTGCCTGCACCCCAGGTAACTTTTTAAATGTCTATACTTTATTAATTTAAAATATATATTTTTTCAATAAACAAATAGGACTTAAACTGAATAGCTTCTGTATAGCTAAGGAGACAACCACCAAAGCAAATTGACAACCATCAGAATGGGAAAAGATACTTACATGTTATGAATTGGACAAAAGCATGATAACTAGAATCTACAGAGAATTCAAATTAAACAACAACAAAAAAGCCAACAATCCCTTATATCAATGGGCAAGTGAGAGGAATAGAACCTTGTCTAAAAAAGACAGACACTGGCTAACAAGCATATGAAAAAATACTCATTGTCCCTAATTATCAAAGAAATTCAAATTAAAACTATCCTGACATATCACCTGACCTTAGTGAGAATGGCCCACATCACAAAGACTCAAAGCTGCAGATGCTGGTGTGGTTGTGGAGAGAAGAGAATACTTTTACACTGTTGGTGGGACTTGCTCAAGATAGTAATACAACCCTTTTGAAAGGAAGTATGGAGAATCCTCAAAGAACTCAAACCAGACCTCCCACTTGATCATTCATTCCCATTATTGGGCATCTACCCAGAAGAAAAAAATCATTTTATCACAAGGATGTTTGCATTAGATTGTGTACCGAAGCTCAATTTACAATTGCCAAATTGTAGAACAACCTAAATGTACACCAGTCTCGGAATGGATTAACAAGCTGTGGTATATGTATACCATGGAATACTATACAGCCACTAAAAAGGATGGCAACTTTACATCCTTTGTATTAATTTGGATGGAGTTGAAATATATTCTTCTTAGTAAAGCATCACAAGAATGGAGAAGCAAGAATCCAGTATACTCAATTCTGATAAAGAGGACATATGCTAGTACATGGTGGGGGAAGGAGGGTATGAGGGATGGGAAAGAGAGAAGGGGGGGATGTGGGGCCATGGGGTAGTGACACACCTCTTGGGGGTGGGACACTATTAATAGAGGGACTTTACCCAGCAAATGCAAGCAGTGTAACCTGGCTCATTGTACCCGTGATGATTCCCCAAGAATTAAAAAAAAAAAGAAAAAATGGCAAACAAACAAAAAATACATATTTTTTCATTTAAAGAACACTTAAATCATTAATGTCTAATTTTTATTTTTTTTAGCATTTTCACTAAGACAGGATCTGCTCTAAGCAAAATGCAGTCCTTAAATTTAGGTATTGTGTTTTTTTTTTTTTTTTTTTTTTTAAGAGATAGAGTCTTACTTTGTCACCCTCGGTAGAGTGCTGTGGCATCACAGCTCACAGCAACCTCCACCTCTTGAGCTTAGGTGATTCTCTTGCCTCAGCTTCCCAAGTAGCTGGCACCACCAGCACCTGCCACACTGCCCGGCTATTTTTCTGTTGCTGTTTGGCTGGGGCCGGGTTTGAACCCGTCACCCTTAGTATATGAGGCTGGCGCTCTACTCATTGAGCCACAGGCGCCACCCTAATGTGTTCTTTCTTAATACAGTTGAGGAAACTGAAACTCTGTGAAGTTAAGAAAGTTTTTTAAGTTTACCTCCTTAGTAGGTGACACAGAACCACCAGTGTGGCTCCAAGCCCTGGGCTTTATTATAGTCATTGTTCTTTCATATGACTTATTTTAACCACATAATAGACATCTTACCCTCTTAGCACATCCTAATCTTCTATAGCCTTGAAATGACTATGTTGTATGAACACTACTGTAATCTGTTGATAGAGGTTTAGCTTGTTATGGTTTTTACTACTATAAAATTATTCTTTAGGAAATATACATATTTTATGTTTTTATTTTTATTTAATTTTTTGAGATAGAGTCTCACTCTGTGCCCCAGGATAGAGTCCCGTGGTATCAACCTATCTCATAGCAACTCAAACTCCTGGGCTCTAGAGATCTTCCTGTCTTACCTTCCCGTGTACCTGGGACTACAGGCACCTGGCACAACACCCAGCTAATTTTTCAGTTTTCATAGAGATGGGGTCTCACTCTTGAGTTCAAGTAATCCACCCATCTCAGCCTCAGAGAGTGCTAGAATTACAGGTGTGAGCCACTGTGTGGGGCTGAGGCTACCTTTAAAAATAAATACTACTTTCTTTTTTTTTTCCCCCCCACTGTACGACCCACTTCAGTGCCAACAGCCTATAGGTAGAGGCCAGGCAATGGTTCAGGGCCAGTTTGCTCTGGCATGGGGCACTATGAATACTACTTTCTAAGGATGAATTTCTGAGTCATTTATTTATCCACTTCCCCATCTCCAGAGTGGAGCTTTAGTGGTCATTCAAATCTTGCTAAGCTGATAATTATGACATTTTCACTTCCTAAAATTTTTATTTCTTTAATATTGATAAAATTGAGCGTGCTTTTGTATTTAGGTGTTATCATGTTTATTTTGTAAATTTCCTTCTGACCTCTGCTCATTTTTCTAGTTCTGTCTTACTGACTGTAGGAGTTTTATATAGATTTATTTAAGGATAGTAAACTTTGCCAAATGTGCTGCAAGTGTTCCTCCTTCAATCTGTGCTTTTAAATATATGATTGTGTGTACATTATACAAGTTTTTAATGTTGTTCAGATAGGAGTATCTTTAATATTTTCTATCTGCTCTCCTTCCTGTGTACTTACCCATTTTTGAGGCTTTACATATCATCAGGGCACCATTATGTCCTAAAAGCAAACCTAGCTCATACCTCATATCCTGCTTCCTAGTCAGTCTTTCTGTGTGGAGAGCTGTTAAGTGTTTAAATTGATCACTTACAAAAATTAGCTCCTTGATACTCCTTCCTGTACTTGCTCTTCTCTAGTCTTCCCTGTCTCAGCACCCGATGAGTCTGTTCTTGTGTTTGCTCAGGCCAAAAGTCTTGGAATTGTCTTTAAATCTTTTCTGGCTCTCTTATTCCGCGTCTAACTTGTCCTCTGCACTGTCCCCAGAGCTGTACTTGGCTTGGTGGCTGTCAGCTTTCCCTGGTGATGGAAATGGCTTCCTTGCTGGTCTTTCTTTTTATTATTATTATTTTTGGAGACAGAGTCTTACTTTGTCACCCTTGGTAGAGTGCAGTGGTGTCACAGCTTACAGCAACCTCAAACTCTTGGGCTCAAGTGATTCTCTGGTCTCAGCCTCCCAAGTAGGTGGTACTATAGGAACCTGCTACAACGCCTGACTATTTTTAGAGATTGGATCTCGCACTGGCTCAGACTGGTTTCAAACCTGTGAACTCAGGCCTCGTCCTCCTAGAGGCCACCAAGTCTAGCCTCTTGCTGGTCTTCCTGCTGCCCCACATTTCCCTGTGCTCTTCACGTGCACCCAAAGCCCACTGGCGTCAGACACTTCCTCTGATCAGTTTTCTCTCAAAGCAGATCCAGCATGCTCACAGTGGTCTATAAGCCCCTAATTTATCTGATCTTCTTTTTTGATATGTATTTTTCTTTTTTGATATTTTTGACTAGTATCCATCCTTTGCTCATTCTGCTTTAGCTGCACTGACCCCATGGCTGTTCTTTGTGTGCCTCAGCTCCACTTACGCCACAGGGCCCTAGCACATGGCACTCCTGCACGTGCTGATCTTAGACATTCCCATGGCTTCCTTTTTCATTTCCTCCAGGTTTACTTCCTGTGTTATCTCAGCAAGTTGACCCCTCCAAAATGTGAACCTCCCACCCTCATATTTCCTAATCTCCATCATAGCTTAATTTTTCTCCTTAATACTTCTAGTACTCCATCTGTTTTACTTATTAATCTTGTTTATTATTGTCTATCTCTCCTATTTGAATGTAAGAAGCTTCATGGGAATAATAATTATTTTTTTTCACTGTGATTTTTTTACTACCTTGTAGAGCAGCTGATTCATAGGAGGTGCTCGGTGAATATGTGGTTGGATGAATGCTTTGGTGAATGGACTGGCTGGCATTTTAGGCCTATAGATTGAAGATATAGGTAGCAGTTCTTCCTAGACTGTCACCAGGTTCTGCTTTGGTACCATATGTAGATTATTGTATTGAGAGGGACCACTTAGATGGTAACATGGTTTGGTCATTTTAGGAAAGAAATTGCAGACTTTGAACAACAGAAAGCAAAAGAATTGGCTCGAATAGAAGAGTTTAAAAAGGAGGAAACAAGAAAGCTACAAAAGGAACGCAAAGTTTTTGAGAAGTATACTACAGCTGTGCGATCTTTTCCTGATAAAAAGGAACGTGAAGAAATACAGGTATGCCAGTGCTTTATATTATACTCATACAAGTTAGTAAAAATGACAGCTTTGTACTCTCATTAGAATTATTTCATGTGTGAAAGAGAAATAACATCAACCTATTATTCATTCATTCAGCAAATAAACTGAGAAGAGATACCGCTTGGGGAACATCTTTTATAGCCTGACTTTTTTTGCTTTTTTGAGACAAGAGTCTATGTCGCTCTTGGTAGACAGTCATGGTGTCACAGCTCATGGCAACCTCAAACTCTTGAGCTTAAGCAGTTCTCTTGCCTCAGCCTCCCTAGTAGCTGGGACTATAGATGCCCACCACAATGCCTGGCTATTTTTTTGTTGCAGTTGTCATTGTTGTTTAGCTGGCCTGGGCGGGTTCGAACCCGACAGCCTGGGTGTATATGGCTGGTGCCATAACCACTGTGCTACAGGTGCCAAGACAACAAGAGTCCCTCGGTAGAGTGCTGTGATGTCCACAGCAACCTCAAACTCTTGGGCTCAAGCGATTCTCTTGCCTCAGCCTCCCAGAGTGCTGGGATTACAGGCGTGAGCCCCTGTGGCCAGCCTAGTTGTAGTATTTAAAGGAAATAAATAAATAAATAAGCAAAGAGAGAGTATCTCACTCTGTTGCCCAGATCAGAGTGTGAGGGCATGATCACAGCACACTGTAGCCACAAAGGCCTGATTCTCCTGCCTTAGCCTATTGAGGACCTGGGATTAGAGGTGCACACCACCACACCTGGCTAATTTAAACATTGCTTTAAGATATGGGTCTCACTGTGTTGCCTAGGCTGGTCTCAAGCAATCCTGCCTTAACTTCCAGGGATTTACGGGCGTGAGCCACAATGCCCAGCTTTATCTGACTTTTAAATAGTAAAGCATATTAGTTCTTTTCTTACTAACAAAGGCTTTCCCAAAAACCTATGGTAATGACTTAGAGGAATTAAAAAGCCAGGAGTTGGAGATCTACCAGTGTAAGATTGTTAATCTTTTTGATCCACTACATACCAAATATTGTTAATTCTATTCATATATAATAATTTAAGACCCATATACTAATTAGGTGTTTAGTTCTAAAGCTTATAAATTGATAGGCCAAGTCATGAGTCATGTTGATTTTAGGGTTAGAAATGGACTTGATCAGAGGGATGTAGCAGTTAAAAAGAACTAATACATTTCTTTCTTTCTTCCTTTCCTTTCCTTTCCCTTTCCTTCCTTCTTTCTTTCTTTTGACAGAGTCTCAAGCTGTCGCCCTGGGTAGAGTGCTATGGTGTCACAGCTCACAGGAACTTCCAACTCTTGGGCTTAAGCGATTCTCTTGCCTCAGCCTCCCAAGTAGCTGGGACTACAGGCGCCCGCCACAATGCCCGTATATTTTTTGGTTGCAGCCTGGCTTTTTTTGGCTGCAGCTGTTATTGTTGTTTGGCGGGCCCAGGCTGGATTCGAACCCGCCAGCTCTGGTGTATGTGGTTGGTGCCTTAGCCGCTTGAGCTACAGAGGCCGAGCCAAGAACTAATACATTTCTTACTAAAACTGTGAACCTTTAAAAAAAATAGATGAATATATTTATGACATTGGCATATGCAAAGATTTCTAAGAGAAGACACAAAGAACTCACTATGAAAGAAAAAATTGGATCTATTTGAATTTATCAAAAGAAAACTTCAAAGTGCCTATCCATTGCTTCTAGCATAAAAATGCACATGTACCTCCTATTTTCCATATTTTAATTATTAGCATTTTAAAATTCCCTCTTTTGTTTTATTCCTTTGTCAAGATGTAGCTGTCCTTGGCCAATCTCCCTTGCACACTTATGGCTTAAGCTACCACATATCATGGTGCTTAGTCAAAGTCTTTAATTCTATTTATTTTTGTGAGGAGAAACATTTATTATGTTTTGGTTAATGTGTGGTTTATTAAATCTGTTAGACTTTGACAGTGTTAAAAATTTTATTTCAAAGATGATAATAAATTCATTCTCATTCAAATGGTACAAAAAGATGTATAGTGAAAATCTTTCCCCCCTTACCCTGGCCACCAAATTGAGCTCTTTAAAAAAATATATTTTTTGTATTGTAGGAAATTCCAAAAGTATATGAAAGTAGAAAGAATAATATAATGAATTGTCATACTTCATCAATGATCATTTTCTTTTTTTTTTTTTAAACTTATTCAAATTAACATGAGGGTACAATATTTAGGTTACATTGTTCTCACTTCCAGGGTAAAGTCCCATTTGTAGAAGAGCCTCTTACCCAGAGGGCGTGTTATACACCCTCACAATGTGCACATTAGGTGAGATCCTGCCTCATTTCCTCCCTTCTTCTGTCATATGTCCTCCCCCCTCCTGCTTCCTTCTCCCCCTGACCCCGATCTGGACTATAATAGTGTTTAATTGTTCTTAGGAACATATAATTGTTCGTATATTCATTTCACATTAGTATGGAGTACATTGGTTATTTATCTTTCCATTCTTGCTTTACTAAGAAGAATGTATTTCAACTCCATCCAGGTGAATGTAAGAGATGTAAAATCTCCATCTTTTTTAATGACTGCATAATATTCCATGATGTAAATATACTGCAGTTTGTTGATCCATTCGTGGGTTGATGGGCACTTACGTTGCTTCCACGACTTGGCTCTTATGAATTGAGCTGCAAGAAATATTCGAGTACAAATGTCTTTGTGGTAAAATGATTTTTGTTCTTCTGGGTAGATAACTAGTAATGGGATTGCAGGGTCAAAAGGAAGGTCTACATTTAGATCTTTGAGGATTCCCCCATATGTCTCTTCAAAAGGGCTATATTAGTTTGCAGTCCTTCCCTTCTCTCCAATTCCATGCCAGTATCTGGTTCTTTGTGACTTTGTGATGTGGGCTAATCTTGCTGGGGTTAGGTGATATCTTAGAGCAGTTTTGATTTGCATTTCTCTCATGATCAAAGATGATGAGCATTTTTTCATGTGTTTGTTGACCATTAGTCTGTCATCCTCAGAGAAGTTTCTGTTCAAATCTCTTGCCCACTTATAGAGAGGGTTGTTTGTACTTTTCTTATTGTTTGAGTTGTCTGTAGATTCTAGTTATCAGGCCTTTGTCAGATTCATAACGTGCAAAAATCTTCTCCCATTCTGAAGGCTGTCTGTTTGCTTTGTTTGTGGTACTCTAAGCTGTGCAAAGGCTTTTTAGCTTGATCAAGTCCCAGTTATATATTTTTGGTGTTGCTGCGATTGCTAGGGGGGTTTTCCTCATAAAGTTTTTTCCCAGGCAAATATCTTTGAGTGTTTTTCCCACACTCTCTTCTAGAATTTTTATTGTTTCATGTCTTAAATTTAAATCTTTTATCCAACAAGAATCAATTTTTGTCAATGGTGAGAGGTGCGGGTCCAGTTTCAGTCTTCTGCATGTGGACGAGTTCTCTCAGCACCATTTCTTAAATAAGGATTCTTTTCCCCAGTGCATGTTTTTGTTAGGCTTATCAAAGATTAAATGATGATATGTGACTGGGTTCGTCTTTAGATTCTCTATCCTATTCCATAGATCTGTGAGGCCTCCAGAATTGTTTTTATTTCTAAGAATTATATTTGCTATTTGGGTTTTTTTCTGGTTCCATATGAATCAATGTACTATTTTTTCAAGATCTTTAAAGTATGACATTGGGACTTTGATGGGGATTACATTAAATCTATAGGTTGCTTTGGGTAGTATGGACATTTTAATGATGTTGATTCTTCCCAGCCATGAGCATGGTATGTTCTTCCATTTGTTGACATCTGCTATTTCCTTTTTCAAAGTTTCATAGTTCTTTGTAGAGATCTTTCACTTTTGTTAGGTATATTCCCAGGTATTTCATCTTCTTTGATGCTATTGTAAAAGAAATAGTCTTTGATTTTGTCCTCGGCTTGGCAATTGTTGACATACACGCTACTGATTTGTGGGTATTGATTTTGTAACGTGAGATTCTGCTGTATTCCTTGATCACTTCTAAGAGGTTTGTAGTTGAGTCCCTGGGGTTTTCCAGGTATAAGATCATGTCATGTGCAAAGAGGGAGAGTGTGACCTCTTCTGCCCCCATTTGGATTCCTTTGATCTCCTTCTCTTGCCTGATTGTGATGGCTAGGACTTCCAACACTGTGTTAAATAGCAGTGAGACAGTGGGCATCCTTGTCTGCCCTTCAGATTTGAGCAGGCATGCTTTCAGTTTACTCTATATAATATGATATTGGCTGTGGGTTTGCTATAGATAGCCTTATCAGCTTAAGGAATGGGTCCTTCTAAGCCTGTTTTCTTGAGTGTTTTTCTCATGAAAGGATGCTGGATATTGTCAGAAGCCTTTTTTGCATCAATTAAAAGAATCATGTGGTCTTTGTTTTTAATTCTATGTATGTAGTATTTTATATTTATAGATTTGTGTATGTTAAACCAACCCTATGTCTCCGAGATAAAACCCACTTGATCATGGTGTATAACCTTATTAATGTGTCGTTGTATTCTGTTTGCTAATATCTTGTTGAGTATTTTTGCATTGATATTCATTAATGATATTGGTGTATAGTTTTCTTTTTTTGTTGGGTCCTTTCCTGGTTTGGGGATCAGGGTGATACTTGCTTCATAGAATGCATTGGGGAGGATTCCTTCTTTATCTATATTTTAGAAGTTTATGCAGTAGAGGAACTAGTTCCTCTTTGAAGATTTGATAGAATTCTGGTGTGAAACCATCTGGTCCAAGGATTTTTTTTGGGAGGGGGTAGATTTTGTATAATTGATGGTATTTCAGTACTTGATATTGGTCTATTCAAGATTTCTAAATCTTTCTGGCTGAGTTTTGGAAGGAATTGTGCTTCCAGATATCAGTCCATCTCCTCTACATTTTCATATTTCTGCAAATAGAGTTTTTTTTTGTAGTAATTGTTGAGAATCTTTTGTAATTCTGTGGCATCTGTTGTTATTTCCCCTTTATCATTTTTGATTGTAGTTATTAGAGATCTTGTTTTTCTGTTTCTGGTTA